TGTGTGTGTGGTTCCCGGTGGCAGCTCCCGGCCGCCCTGCCCCGGCCGTGCCCGCATCCTGGAGCGGACGGACGGACGGACGGACAGATGGCCGGCATCCCCGACGGAGGGATGTTTCTGTCTTTGGTTATCTAGCTGTATGAGTGTTGTGGAGCCATCATAAAGCTAGATAACCGAAAGTAGAAATGACTTCCAGACCTGCTCGCCCGGGGGAAGCGGCCGCACCAGGACCGGCGGTGCAGAGACGGCCCGACTCGCCGCCTTGGGGCTCCAGGTAAGGGCTGCGGCTCCGCGACCTCCCCGTCGGGCCGCTCCGGGCAGCCCGGGGCTCCGCGGCAGCAGGCGGGAGGGACGGGGACAGGGGGACGAACCCTGCGCCAATTCTTCCATTGCCAAAGAAACCTGGGGTTTAACTGTCGGTTAAACGCACCTCGAAATTCACTCCTCGGCTGCGGGGTGTTGCGGCTCTGGGAGGATGGAGAGAGAGCGAGCGCCCTCCCCCAAAAAATCCTCCCCCTATCCCAGCCTACAGGTCAGACCTCGAAAACCCGCAGCTTTTGGGTATTTACCCTTCTCTCTCTCCTTCTCTTTTTTTTTTCGGCTTTGGATTTGATCCTGGCCTCCCTTTGGAAGGTCAAGTTAGTGATAATGTGACCACTTTTCTTGCGCAGTGGCTGTTGCTTTTGTCCGTAGCTGCAGGGATATGCCCAGAGAAGGGGTCCCGCTGCTGGGTGCACTCCTCCGGCGTGCAGCCGCCCGGCCCAGGGGCTTCTTTGGGAGCCCAGCGCTTGGCAAGGGACAAAGCCTCCCTCACCTTCGCTGAGAGCCCCAGAAGTTGAAACATAATGTGTATTACAATGTCTGGCAAATAATAATAATAAAAAAAAGGGGGGGGGAGGGAAAAAGAAAAGAAAAGAAAAGCAATTGGCACATCTGCATTCCGTTCCCATGGCGACAGAAAGCACCGCGCTCTCTGCCGAGCCTCCCCGGCACGTTTTCCCAGCTGGCGTGGGGCGAGCGCCCCTGGCCGGGGCCGGGGTCCCCCGGGGCCCCCCGGCACCCTGGGGCAGGCCGGGAGGCATCACCACCAGCCCCTGGCCCGGCTCTGGCAGTTCGCATCCCGCAGGGATGATCCCCGCGCTGCCGCCAACCCTCGCGGGCCGTGACAGCTCCGGGAAGGCTGCAGAGAAAAATCTTCCCGTGGCTGCGGTTACCAGTGGGCTGTTTGCTGGCTCTCTGCCCCCCAGGAGATGCTGCGGGAGACTGGGGAGGGCTTGGGAAGGTGCTGCCGCGCTCCCGCTGCTCGGCGAGGTGGAGCGTGCGTACCCTGCCCCATCCTTTTCTCCGCAGTGGGCATCCCTTGCCGAGGGAGAAGGTAGCACAGCAGGGCCGAGCCGCCCGTGCCCACCGGCGTGCAGGGACGGCGAGAGGTGGGAGCCCCCCCGCACCTCGGAGGCAGGTTTTCCACCTTCACTTGCACGGGGTAATGGCGTCAGATGCCACGTAGGCCCGCAAAGCTAAATATGCCTGTGCACCCTTCCAGGGCCAGCAAAGCACCGCCATAACCACAGTAAGGAAAAAGGATCTCAGCCTGAATTTGGCTATACCGGGAGAAAGAAAAGTTCTGAGGAGCTGTTATTATATATTCTAATGAGAAGTCATTGGAGAAATTAAAAAGGGCAGAGAAAGACGAAGACGCCAGCACTAATTCCGCAGGAAGCCTCCCAGGGAAAAGGCTGTGTGAGTGTGAACGCTGAAAAGCATGAAGGCCTGGAATTAGACTATCATTTAGAAAGCGTTACTAATCCGAAGTTACAGCAGTAATTCCATGATTTGCTGGGTCCCACACGCAGCGCCAGAATTAAAGATACGGATTTTCTAGAAATGTAACTCAACTGTGGCACCGAGTCTCGGGAAGATCCGAATGAATCATTCATTCCAAAGGCAGCGAAAGACGTGTCATTAAGAACCATCCTCCTTCTCTCCAGCCCATCTGGAATATGTATACTCGATGCAATCCCAGAAATTGTGGAAGAGATTGGAGGTGGGGAGGAGGGAATGTAGTCCTTTCCCTCCTTTATTATGTTGGTTATTTTTAAGAAATAATTTTCCAATTATTTTCACAATATTGTGAGTGGTGCTCAATTCTTCTCCTATTTATTTTTTTCCCCCTTTCCTACGCCAGCATCGAGTCAGGTGCAAGCGGTTTCAGTGGAGATGCTTTAAAACTAGACTGAACAAAGCAGGAGGGAACTGAGCAAGGTGGTTGATGAATGCATTTATTCCGGAGTAATGATTTGATGGGGGATGGAGGAAAGAAACATTCAAATTCCTAATGAATATAATTCAGGAGGAATCATTCAACCAGCGTGTTAGAGAAAATCTGTTTGGTGGGAGTGTTTCTGCACTGGCAGAACCCAGGAGGTATTTCTGTCCTTGGCTTTTGTAATTGCAAAAGGTGAAAATATAAAAAGAGGATCTGAGGAAAAAAAAATATACACACATATAATAAATGTCTTTGTGTGTGTGTATATAAATACATATATATATATAATTTCATGAAATAAAATGCAAGTGTGGCAATCCGTGTCTACATGAGAACTCTTACAAAGGATCAATGCAAGTTTTTTCACCTTGCTCTTTAATCAGGTAGTCAGAAACCACCCTTGACTTCTACTATATTTTTTTTCTCCCCAAAATTGCCTGTTCTGAGCTGATTTTTCAGATATTTTTTCAGGCTGTGGACTTGATTCACTAAGCCCAGAGCAGTGTCCCCAAAGGGGATTGAGACAGGGACCGAGCGATTTGGCCTTTAGTGTCCGGGAGAGAGAAATTGCAGTTGAATTTTTTCTGGTGCTTAAATTCTTCGCTTTTGCCCCCATTGTTGACGTGAACCTGCGGGTGTTTGGAGGAGATGTGGAGGTGGCACCCCCTCAGTTAATGAAGGAGGTGGCAGTGAGTGATGGGGGACAGTGGCATGAGAATCCCCAGCTCATGGGGAGGGTGGAGGGCGAGGAGGCAGATAAAGCCCCCCAGCAAATCCCTACTTGTGACATACCCGCTGCATTTAAAGAGTCCCTGGCAGCCCACTGACAGGTCTCTGCTTTCTGTCTTTTTTTTTTTTTTTTTAAGTGCTATGGTGGAAGAAAGGTCCATAAGGGTCCGTCCTTGGGCCAGGGATGGATTTTGGCTACACATGGTTCCCTTTGTGGCTTAGCCTTTTGCCCTATATGTGTAGCTGTTGGCTTTGGATGGGTCTTTTCCCCTGCGTAGCCAAAACCCCAAAGGGAAGGTGTCTCTTTGGGCTGTGCTGAGAGGAGAGCCCACAATGTCCTAGCATTCCCAGCTCTTTCTCTTCTCAGTGGGACTCTCCTGGTGGAGCAATGGGATGCAGCGTAGGCCAAATGTGGGTGAGGTTCCTGAAGCTGGGCCGTGATGTCTTTGTTCTTCAGGCTGAGGTGGGGATGGGCAGAGGGAGACAGAAACAGAAGAATCGGTGTGTGCCATTGGGGGATAAATGGAAAATATAATTTGTGGGTTTCACCTTGGGGAAATGATCTCTGTGGCATTGAGTGCTCCAACTCACGATTTCCGATCTTTTCCTAAGACTCGGCCACCATGCAGCGCGTTTGGCTCAAGGGATGAGGTGAAGGGGGTTTGTACCAGATACCTGGGTAAGCCAAACTCGCCTGGGCTCAGGGGCAGATGGAGAATGGGATATTACATCCCTGCTATTCGAAGAAGCTGCCTTGGAAGCCAGGCCATGCAAACCCTCCCGCTTGGTTATGGATGAAATCCCATCAATGGGCATTTTTGTGGAATTGCCTGGCAATGGTGTGTTCGATGCTTGGGGCTGGGCTCAGCCATTTCTTTTGTCTCTCTTGGCTCCCATCCCCTCTCTGCACCCTTGATGCAGGCGGACGGTGCCTCCCTTTACCTGCTGCTCTACCCTGGCTTTGTCCGTGCCACCTGAGGAAGGGCAGAGTCCAGGGCCTTGGATGGCACATCCAACCTGTGGCTGCGGATGGGTGCTGCTCATGCACCAAGGAGGCATTCTGGCTGCGTGCTGGAAACACGCCTTCTCATTTCTGCGTGGAGGGAAGGTGCTAATTTGGCATCTGTGCAGGTGCAAGCACTGAGGGCTGGTGCCTGGCACGTGGCAGTGCACGTGTGCCGTTCGTGGGGTGGGTACCCCGTGTCACTCCTGTCACCAATGCTCCCACATCACAGACCCTCAGTTTTCTCTGGGTGTCTCTGGGGGCCACGAGCATAAGATGGACCCGTGGCTGCCCGCCTGGCTTCCCTGCCACATGGTACTGGGCGTCACCCTGGCTAGGTCAGGGATTTCCGTGCCTACAAGCCTAGTCACCTCAGGAAGGTGTTTGCCAAGAGCCAGGCTGGAAAAACACTATCTCGAGCTTTTCGCCATCCCTCTGTCCCTCTGGGTGCACGTGTTTGGAACCAGAGCTTGCTCATGAAGCTGGGCCATCACACTGCCCACAGCCATGCTCCCAGGATCTGCAAAGAGTCAGGACAAGGCTCTGGCTTTCCTGTTTTCTGATATTTATTCAGGGGCTCAGGTTTGGTTAGGAGCGTTTGCCTCGAAAGCTGAGGAGTGGAGGTAAAAAAAAGAAAATGGGGGAGCAAAAGAACACAATCTCTGGCAGTTAGCTGTCTCTTGGAAACTCAGTTTGCTGTTCCTATAGAGGCTTTCTCTTTTCCTTCACCCTGGTCTGGCCTTAAGTACCACTTTAAGCGGGCTTTGCTCATTCACATCCAGGCTCCTTAGAGCAATTGAGCCCGCGGGGGTTTGAAAAGAAGGGACAGTCCTTCAATGGCAGGACCTTGGGCCAGGCTAATTGGTTTTGGTTCAAGGGGATACTGGATTTGTGAAAAGCCCAAAGACATCTTTCCCACGCCAAATCCCAGCTCTTCAGAGGGGGAAGTGAGGGGTGCTGGGTGGAGAAGGGAACTGAAAGAAATGTGGTTTAGTTGAGGAACCTCTGTAAGGATCCAGACGCCCACCAGGCTCGGCAGGGCTGGGTGCAGCGGGGGGCAGTGCCCAGGGGAGCATGGCAGCAGGGGGACTGTGTCCCTCCTCCTCAGGGCAGGTGGGTGGCGGTGGCTGGCTCCCACCTCTGGCACTCTGGCAGTGGTGGCCTGGTTTCATTAAAACCAGGCTTTTTCAATGGATGCCAGACTCCTGTGGAGATGGCAGGAATGAAGGAAGGATGGGACCTGGGTCCAGAAACCAAGTTGCTTCTGTGTACTCGCCTGTGCAGCCATGGGGGGAATTTGTTGAGGTCTCTTGTATCTCATTTTGATTTAGGAATTTATTTATTTTTAAACATTGACTCTCTCTGGCACCATTCCAGCAGTCCCACGACCTTTACTCTCCTCGATCCATAAAAATCACTTAATTATTAGGCTGAAAATCAAGGCTTGGAAACAAAGCCAGCTTATGGGACCATCAGTTCTTGATATATTTCCTGAGAGGACATATTTCTGGGCACCTTCAGAGCAGAGCACGCAGCTTGTTGGATATGAGATATCAAGGCATTATTTATTGAGGAAGTCTTCACACTCCCTCATCTGTTATAATTAACTGATGACATTTTTTTCTTAGGTTCAAAATATGGCGAAAAAGTGTAATTAGCACGAAGCTGAGGCACTGCATTAAAATGTCTCCTATAGTTAATGTAGAGTAGTCGTGCTATTTATTATAGGAGGAGCTGGCTCTGACCTCTGTGTTGCCTAACAGTTTTTATTGTAAAGATTCTTGAACTTTTTTTTTCTTTTTGAGCACCTCTGACACTCCCATTGTTTGCTGCGGGCCCTTGAAATTCGTCCGGGGGAAGCGCTTTGGCTAGAGAAATGCCTATTCTTTGTCCCTTAAATTCCTTTCAGGTTTAGCTGAATTATGAATTGGTCAGAATTGCGATTTCACTTTGGTTGCCTCTTGAGGTGGTGGTGGGGGGAAATTAAAATTTATTGTTTCCCTGGAATAATAATAACAGATCAGGAGCAGGGTGAAGCCATGGACTCCCACCACTTTATTGAAGAGCTCTGGACCAGCCAGGGAAGGTGGGAGGATGTTTACAGCCAGCTCCATCACCCTCTTCCACCTTTAGCTCATATCCTTCTAGCATGGCCCCACCTCCTGGGAGCAAACTCCTCTGGGTCCTGGAGCCAGGAGGAAAAAGTGTAGGGGGTGTGGGTGTGTTGGCCTGGGCACTGCCAGCCTCAGCGGTTCCCTTCCCTGCCGGCCCCAGGAGAGCAGCCTTCTGCCGCTGCCAGATAACATTAGTCCTGTATTTCATAGTGGCAGAAATCTGTGCCGAGGCTTGGGGCTTGAAATCGTTCTGCCCGCACAGGATGAAGCAGGGATGGGTGCGGGGTGGAGGAAGGGGAATTTGTTACACTTGCCTACAATTGTTTTTCTTTTTGCTTATATAAACAATCTATTATTTATTAGCTATAAATAATGCATTTTTCTGTATGTTTAGAATGCACGTGATTTCTGTATATTAAAAATGTACATGGTTGAAGGCACCAAAGCAGGCGCTGGCAAGTCAGGGGGTACCCGATTTCATTTTGACCACGAGACGTTAATTCAGCCTCTCCCTGCCCGTGCCCTTACGAGGCTGACAACACGGTCACAGCCTATTTTTAGCTCCCTCCCTCTTTTCCTGTCCAGAGTGGCTGCACAGCGAGGTGGAATTAAGGTTGCATGGGCAGCCATAAATTGGGCACTTCCTAACTTCGAAGTGCTTGACCACACAATCTAAGCAAGGGCTCTTCAGGGCAGTATTTCTGCATGTGGCATTATCTGCGTTGGCCAGGCACGTCAAATACAGGGGTAGAGAAGCCTTAGAGCAGAAAAGACCTATCAGACTATTGAAAGTGCTTGTTTGAATAGATGAGGGAGTCAACAGAACCTACACTTGATCTGAGCTAAATGGCCAAGAAGATGTCTCCAAGCTGAGAGGGGGAAGCCTTTGTTCCTTCAGTCCCAGCCTTGATGTTTTCTTTGCCTTTGGTTTTGCCTCGTTCTCTCCTAGGGAGGTTTGGGCTCCTGCTCTGGAGGAACCTTTGGCTTGCGTTGTGAATTCATGTGCTTGTGAGAGCGAGGGTGTCCCTAGGAATGTGCACCCCCATACTCGCTCCCGTCACCGCACCAGCAGATGTGTGCTACCAGCTCACAGATACTTGCTGATTGGCATCCTTGCCTTGCCTTGCCCTGCACACTCCCTCTTTCCCATGTTGCTGTCAGGAGCTGTTCCACATGTTGGAGGGAAAGGAGAGGCCTTTGTGTTTTACATAGGAGGGATAATCTCATTTTTAACTGCTGGAAGAATTACTCCAAAGGTGATGATATGCAATGCACATTTATCTTTGCTTGAAATAGCACTTTTTTTGTTGTTTTTTTTTTCTTTGTTTACTGGTGAGTATCTCCATTCCAACTCTCAATAAGATGCTGGCTGTCTGTTTTATAGTGGAGTGGGCACCCCAAGCAAATCCATCTGGGAAGTAATCAGCCTTTTGTTTTACTTTCCTGGGTGTAATGCAGTCACAGCCCTTTGCACATACTTGTGCTGATACCAGAGCATTCTCCCCTGGCCAGCAATGTATTTGCCCTGGGTTATAATTACTTGACCTGGCAGTTTTGCCTTGTGGATTCCTGGAACCTGATACCTGCCTGGGGCTGTGTCTGGATCAGCACGGGTATCTAAGTGTCCTACATTCGGGTTTCCATCATTTGGGTTTGGCTTGTGTTCCCTGAGCATCTCTTTCATAACTTTCCCCCTTTCTCCTGCCTCTCAGTTCAGCAAAGGGCCTGTCTATCTGGATGCAGGCAATAAACATCTGTTCTCACCCTCACTTCTGTTAATGAGATAGAGACAGGTAAGCATCACACATACCAACTTCCCTGCTCTCAGCAACATCAAGGAAATGGTGACAAGCTATTAATGGAAAGTGATGGTCTGGGTGCTAATTAGTGCTTCCTTTTCAACTTTTACCTACATGTCTGCCGAGATGCCCATCCCAGTCTCTCCTCTCTCCTTGCATCCCTTTGTTTCCAGCAGGTTCCATGTTCACTGTGCGCATCCCATGTCAAAGAGGCTTCTCTCTTTATTTTTTCTCTACCAATCACTTTCTGCATCTCTTTCATTCCCTCATTTTTCTGTGCACCCTCATTCTCCTGCAGTTGTTCCAGGCAAAGAATAAGCACCATATTATAGTGGGATTTGAAATCTTGGGGATGGGACATGTGAAGTTGGTCAGGAGTTTCTCATCTTCATCAGTAGGTAGTAATATTTGCTTGTGGCACCAGTGCACGGGGTCAAATTACCCTGGGGACATGAGGTCAGAGATCTGTCCCCTCTTCCCACAGGTAATGCTGTAGTGAGGCTCCCAGCAGCTCACAGGTCTTGATCATGGAGTAATTAGTATTTAAAGCAGATCCTCTGGTAATGCCCAGAGACTAAGTAGGACAGGCTTCCGTGGTGTGAGCCTGCAGGAGATGACAGGTCCTGCCCCAGAGAGCTTGTGGTCTAAACTCTAAATGATTTTGCTGTCCACCAGACCCTGTTAATGGCTGTTTTTTGAGATCCAGCCCAATTTATGCTGCTGCAGCAATGTGATTCCTGGTCTCAGCTTGGTGCCCAGTCTCTCCTGTTTCTCTTTCTTCTGGTCCCTGGGCTCTGCCCCTTCCCCAGGGACCCTAATCATCCCCTCCTCACCTCTTTTGCACGGGCTGTGGGTTTCTTGCTGCCAGGCTTGTGTCCCAAGGAGCTGCCTAATCTGCCCCTGTCATTCCCAGTCACAGGCTCTGCACACACCATAGCTTTATGGGGAATGCTTGCAGGGCAGTGGGAAGAGGCAGCCATGGTTTGCACATCAGCTAATTAATTTTCATGACTGAACGGTGCTGCCTGGTCTCTTGTTTATACTCCTCGCCGCTCCCCTTCTCCCCCTCCTCGCTGACACACACACAAGACGACACATCTCGTAGGAACGTCAGCATCCTTCCACAGCCTTGAGACGCGAGCGGTTATTCTGTTGGCTTGTCAAACGCGGGTTTCCCTGCTTCATGGTACACAGGGGCCCCCTGTTTCACATTTGCTGATTCTTATTAGACCCAGCGCGCCAGGGCCTTGTCTCTCCCCGCAAAGCAACGTGCCGCATCCCATCCATAAATCCAACCCTGGAACAAAGCCTCTTCTACCCTGCCCCATATTTCTACCCAGCCTGCCCGCTTTCCCCTCTCTCTCTCTCTCTCCCCCTCTCCCGTGCTGAAGGTTTCCTAGTGCCAGGGAGATATGATAATTCTTGTGAAGAGAGCATGAAATGCCTCTGCTCTTTGTGTCTGTTTAATTCAATGAGAATCCCAGCCCCAGATGTCATGAATGGTGGGCTTTGTGCTGGCCCTTCCTAAGCCCTAACCGCCAGCCCAGCTCTCTGTCTTTCTTGTTTCCCACCACTGGATACTGATTAACAAACTAAATTATTTTTCCTCCCTAATGATGTTTTCCCACTTTGCCCACCAGGCTGGAAGAAGCCACGGGGAGGAAAGAGTTTGTGCAAAGGATGAGATAGCCAGGGAGAAAATTAAAGGGACAGTGTTGCTCTCTGGGCTCTGGCAACGCAGGTCCGCTCGGCTTTATTTCCCTATTAGAGAATGGGGTCGTGTCTGGCTGTATTTTACGTGGCTGGGTGTATTTCAGCCGAGGGATGGGCTTGAAAGCATCTGCACAAGGTACGCTCTGGAGCATGCCAAGGTCCGTAACTCACTTGCAATTGTGTGTGTGAGTTTGCATGGTCCCAAATTTAAGGTCTCTTTTCCAGCCGTGAGTGACATGTGGTAATTACTTGACATCCGTCCATGCATATGGGAACCTCTTTCTAATTGAGACAAATTCTCTTTTCCTTAATCAGACATGACTGAGAGTTCGTGGAGTGGGATGCCGTGGGAAGGGCTGGGACGTCTCCACCTGAGCAAGGAGAGGTGAGTCCCTGGAAGTCTTGCTGAAGGATCAAGTCCAACTCGTGCATGGGAGACCAGCTCTTTTACCTGATCCCTCCCTCCCTCCCACAGCCAAATTCCCAGCCAGGTTTTGAAACAGGGCCAGTTGTTAGCTGCTGCTAGAGAGGACCAGCAGCAATAATCCAGGGAGCCTGGATGGAGCTGAAGGCGGGTGGCCAAGGAAGGATCATGCAGAGCCACCTGCTTTTTGGAGCCCAGCAGTGCCTCCTTGCTGGGCACCAGTGAAGCTGTGGCCAGCAAACACCCTCCTGGAGCAGGGAGAGAGGATGGGTGTCAACCTGGTGAGGAGAAAAGGCAGTAGGGAGGGAGCCTTTCAACAACAACCTGGAGGTCTGGGTTGTGCAGCTGGAAGTCATTGAGAGGGGGTTGGTTTGGTATTTCGATTTAAAAGAACAAACAAACAAAAAAACAGAGGAGACCCCATGCTGGTGGTGTGGGCTCCTCTCAGCTGTGGCATGGGCAGGGTCACGTCTGATGGACAGGGCACGACAGAGAGCTGGGTGTACTCAGGAAAGCTCTGTGGTGGTGCAGGACTCAGCCCTGTATTTATGAGACAATGCAATGTATGTATTTATCTTTCACAATTGAGACCTCCAGTCAGAGAGGGCCAGAGACTTGCCTTTCCCTGTGCAGATCTGGGAGGCTTGTGCAGGCTCAGCTTGTAGAGTGGCTGCTCCTCTCAGAGCCACGCTGATGCTGCGGTACCCAGCCATGGTTCTCCTTTTCCTCAGCTTCGACTGAAAGGGGGAATAAACCAAGAAAAAGGAGCTGCTTGCCTGCACCCACCAAACCCCTGCAAGCACACCCACTGCTTCCAGCAAAGCACTGCCTTGTGTATGGCCTTTGCTTCCCACTGCAGTCACATCTGACCCTTATTACTTCTGCAAGGTAGAACAAGGCAGGAAAAATGGCTGTGCAGCGAGTTTCTTCATGCGCCAGGATTTATTAAGAACAATAGGGGAAATCAATCCATCTATGTAGAATACATCGCAGGCTGCAATGGGATAAAGCATTTATTCCGCTCTTGAAGGGTAGAGCTATAACTCATGGGAGTTAGTGCTCTGGAGTCCCTTCCCTTCATGTGTGCAAAGAAATGCTTTAGCCCATGGCAACCTACCAGCTATTGAATTTGTGTGGAGAATCTGCCGTCCTTCCCCTCTGCCGGCCCCTTTTTGGAAGGCGAGTCACTCATTAAAACACACCTCTGGAAAAATGAAGGGGCTGTCGGTTCGAAGGCATCTCTGCATCTCAGTTTTACTTGAAACAGAAAGGGTATAGAAATGTCTCAGTGATGTAAAAGCAACCTCCCACCGATTCTGAACGGACAGATTGTGCTTAAACCAACGTAGGATTTGCTGCAACTTTCTGCTGATGCCCAAAGACCAGGCTCTGCAATTACAGTGGAGAGGGATGGGTTGGGGTGTTGTGACAAGGCAAGATGCTGTGCAGGGAGATGTGTATTGTGCGGCTGAACACCTTCACTGCTGACTAGATAGATGTGTGTGTATATATATAAGTACTCCCTGTGCCCAGCTCTCTACTCGTGGTAGAAGGCATGCAGTGCAAAGACTGGAGCAGTAGTTAGCAGGGGCAAAAGGTGACTGGGATTTGTTATAATCTTTCTGGGTGTGAGAGAGTGTGAAGGCGGGGGGAGCAGGGTGGGTGGCATTAATAGTGAAATGGTATTTTCACTAAGCCTATTTTCACTGGGTCTAATCTATGTTGTGGGAAGAGGATCTCTTCAATAGGGCAGACCCAGCGAGCTGGGGTCTGGGCAGCTGAGGAGTGTGGGCAGGGGAAGCGTGGCAATTGGGCAGACACGTCAGACGGCCTTCCTCAGCAGAGATGACTTGGTAGGTTGCGTGCTGCTGGGCAGATGGGGTTAATTCTTACACCCAAATCAAAAGGCAACTGAGGGGGGAATGTTTTATTAATGAAAGCAACCCTTTGTGAGTATTCCTCCTGAGGCACGTTCCCTCCACCCGCTGCCTTCCCCCCTGGCTGCTGTCTGGCCCCACGTCTTGCTCAGTACCTGCTCAGCTGCCACTCACCCACTGATAGGTTTCATCAAGAAATGTCTCCATATGTGTCTGAGTCTGGAACCTGGGTATGTAGGATGGGAAGAGGAGGAGGGATAGGTCCTTGGCCATGCTGTAGACAGGGGTGTGCCACAGGCAGACAGAGCTTGGGCTGTCACAAGTTGCATGTCAGCCCATCGTCTTCTGCAATGGTGCTGCAGGAGTCACCTCTTTGGTACCAAAGAGCGAGAGAACCAGAGTGTTTCTCTGGTAAAAGGTAAAAGAGAAGGTTGAAAGCGGGTAATTCAGTGGGCTGGGGATGAAGGGGACAGTGAAGCTGGAAATTGGGTTGGGGAAGTTGGAAGTGCCTTACCCACCATCCATCCCCTTTCCCCTCCCACTGCCCTGCTGCCTGACAAGCAATGGGCTCAAGAGAGGAGCAGCCAATTTCTGTGCACCAGAAAGCAGACTCTCCTGGTCTTTCTTGCCCTGCTGTCTCCCTATGCCCATGTCCTCAGGGGCCCTGGACAGCTTGTTCTGCCAAAGGACAGGGCTGTGGGAGTAGCAAGGGCTGTGTGTGGAGATTTTTTCTGTCACTTTGTTAAAAATAAAACAAAAGCTGGTTTATGACAATTGATTCAGGAGAAAGAGGAAGTGGAGCTCAATTCCCAGAGCACCTTTTAGCAAGGCTCTGCCTGCACGCGTGTGTGTCGTACGCGTGTCAGAACTGAGCACCCACGGAAGGCCGGGTCGGGAAACCTCACATGGAAGCGGGGAAAAGACCCCAGTGCATGGCTGCTTCCCTGAGGGAACCCCCGCAGGGCTAATGTTTGATCTGAGGCTCAGTTGTACTCCTCTGAAACCTTGGGATGTCAGGAGCTCGAAGGGAGCCTGGGATGGAAGAAGATGCTATTTGCATTTTCCTATGAATGCATCTATTTGTATAAATCTGGTGTCTCTGTGCATGCGCACACTCCCCTACGCATGCATTTGTTTGAAGAGCAACACACTGTCCCCATGGTGTTCTCTGCTCAGGGCCAGAACTGGTTAGTCTGAAATTCAGACTCTTCCTGGAGGAGCTGCAACTCCCCTCCCCACTTCAAATCTAGTGATGGCTACGGACACAGGAGTCCCGAGATGGTTCACCATGCGATAGTACAGTTTCATTGTGGGGGATGAAGGCTCCCCCTTTCAAATTTGCACAGACATCAAAAGAATCTAGAAGGTTCAAACAGATCACAACGTAATCAAAATGCCAAGCCACCGTCTGCTTCTGCCTTTGGGTTGACAAGCAGGATTAGCACCCAAGGGAAGCAGGGTGTAATAGTGTTTCACGGGCACTGTGAACAGCCCAGAAGTGTGCGGAGTACAGAAAGGTTAGCCGAAGGGCAGGTCTAGCTACAGACGTACAGTTGGGGGGTGGATTTTAAAGCAAGGAGCTGTACATGTACAACCTCTGTGGATATTTACTTTAGCAGAAGGCAGGACTCTCCTGTATACCAGTTATGTCACACTGGAAGGAGTTTAAACTGGAGAAAGCCAGCTTGAGAGTGGAGATATGAACCAGTGTGGCGAGGAGCAGCAGCAGTTGACCTACAGTCCTGTCATTATAATGGTGTGGTTTGCCATGTAGACATCCCCGGAGCAGAGCAGCTAGCCTGCCATCCCTTATGTTTCACTGTCTAACTGAGATGTATAACACGGCCCTGCCTGTGTGCAGTTGCAATCACCCTGTGGTTCTCTGCAGAGAATTGGAGCAGGTGCCGAATTTTCAACCTGCGTCATGTGCCTATCACACTATGTGAAATAGCCCCGTCATGGCTAAAGACATGTGAAACACTTCCCAAATGCTGCTTTAATGTCAGTAATTGCTGGTCCTGTCCTGAAGACAGCCTGAGATCAGGGATATGAGGGTTCCTTGGTTGGTATTTGGTGTTGCTCATTTGGAGAACTCAACAATGCTGATGTGTCCACTGCAAAGCTCCTATGGAATGGGAAATGTAGCTGTGGCTTTGTCTGTGCTCTCTGTTAACTGTGCCTTCTCCTTTTATAACTGACCTTGTTTTAAATTTGTGTTACATTAAGGTTTAGGAAGCTCACTTCTTCTTTAATGGTATCTCTGCAGTTTTGCTTTAGGATTTATTTTGTTTTGGCCAGGAGAAAGGCAGAATTTGCCCATAACTCACTCTCAGAATGCTGGACAGGTGACATCTTGCCTTGTAGCTCTCAGACTGCTGCATCTGTCCAGGCCTTTTCTTCCAGGGCCAGTCCAGTGCCCAGGACTCACAGGACAGATTGAGGCAGGGAGCTGTGCCCTGACAATGGCTGCCCGTGTGGGGATAACGCCATTCCTGTCCAAGGGGAAGGCCACGGAAAGGGCACAGCCGCCTCCATGGCCATGAGCAGGGCGCAGGCAATATGTGCTGCCTGGTGAAGGAGAAGCGTGTCAAGACTGTTCCAGGCAGGAGGGCTGGGGAAGAAGCTGAGGGAGCGCTGCATGCCCAGCGCCTTGGCACATGAGCGGGGCCCGGGCTAAGATGGCCGCTCGCCAGCACACTCTGGCCCACCATGGCAACTCCCTCTCTCCTGGGGCCCCCGTTTCCCGGCTGCCGCTGCTGCCGGGTGCCCACCGCCTCAGGGCTGGCGGAAGGGAGCCCGCCGGGACAGGCCAGCTGCGGGCCTGAGGCAGTGTGGGCCCTGGCGGCCATTTTGCGGGAGGCGAGCGCCGCCTGTAAGATGGCCGCATGGGCATGAGGTGGGGTGCAGCGCTGCCTTGTCCTCGCCACGCTGCCTCCCTCACGCCGTCCCCTCCTTATCTTGCTAATTACCGATGAAGGCAGAACAATAACGGGAGCTGGCATGCCCCAGTTCTTTCTCTGCCACCTCCTTCCTCGGGCGGAAAATCTGCGCGCACACCTCCCCCCCCGCCTGCCAGCCCCTCTG